TATGGTGACATTTACCTGTCGAGCGCTGTAGTTGACATTCGGCAGCTGGCGCTGATGAGAGCCAGACCTGGAACTCATGTTGACTGAAGAAGACTTGTAACTCTGTTCGGCACTGAATATTTTGGACTCACGATGTTCCCTCTTTAATCTGGTTTGATAATTGAGTTGAGCTACCTGGTTCTCATTCATCTTCTCTTTGTGTGAGACATCGCAATCTGTGAAATCTGTGTATATCATACATGCAAGCGCACCTCGTGCAGGCAGTTCCCGACGTGCGGCGCACAACATGTGCGGGGAACAACCCGTCACCCCCCTCCGAAAAAAAAAAAAAAGAAGGCCGGGGGTCGAAACGGTGCGTTCGAGACCCCCCGCCAAAATTATAAGCGGGATTAATTTTTTTTTTTGCGAGAGCGCTGCCTCACCTTGCTCCTTCTCCCCTTCCTCCTCCATGTCTCCTCCGCCCTTCTCCTTTTCGTTTCCTCCTTTTCGTCCTCCTCCTGCCCTCCATGTCTCCTCCTGTTCGTCCTCCTCCTGCCCTTCCTCATCCTCCTTGTCTCCTCCTCCTCCTCGTACTTCGCCATCTTCCATGCCTCCTCGTCTCCTTACCTTCGTCATGTCCTCCCCTTCCTCTCCGTCCATGTCTCCTCCTCCTCCCACTCGTCCTCTTCCCGCCCTTCCTCTTTCCCTCCGTCCATCTCTTCTCCTCCCCCATCTCTGCTCCTCCTCCTCGTCGTTGTCCTCGCTATTCTCGTCGTCCTCCTCGGCCACATCCTGCTCCTCCTCTCCATGTCCCCCTCTACTCGCTATATCCCCAGCGTCCTGTCATACACCCCCCCCCATCCCCCCTCCCCAAAAAAAATAAAATAATAATAATAAAAAAAAACCTGCGCGATTCCGCACAGGCACCCCCCACACGGAACTCCGCACGAATGTGCGGCTCGTGCGGTTGCAAGTATGGTGTATATGCATGTGATCTGATGCACTCCAGCAAGTGATGAACAGTCGGGTTCCTTGCATATTATGCAATGAATCAGTTTCCCAGCGAGCTGTAACATAACTGGGTCATTTTTATAATTTTTCTAAGCTAGGGCCCGTAACCTGCCACTTAGTTTGGCCAATCCTGACCGACTCATCGGCTGCCTTCTTGACTGTCTCATTCCCATGCATCCCACTCCTCCTGCGAGTTCAAAAAGTCAGCTCTCTCCCAAGACTCAGCCAGTTCCTTGCCCAAAGGGGAAGCCATCACTGACTCTTGGGGAGGCTTCAAAGCATCCACTGTACCTGGTGCACGTACTGTTCCTGCCGTAGGACCTGTTCCAAGCTCAAAGCCAGCAGGAACCCAGGTTCCCCAGGATGGCCCATCCTAGGAAACTCACAGGGGAAGACCCCAAAGTGGATGTCTCAGACTGGAATGCAATGAACTTTCAGTTTACGAGCGAGCTGTAACATAATCGGGCCATCTGTAAAAATTTTCTGCGCTCGGGGCCCTAACCTGCCACTACTACCAGCCTAGTCCCGACAGGGACATTTCTGAAGTTGACGGTAATTTCCCAGGCCATAAATTCTGCTACTGCTTGGGACAGGTACCGTAGTGGTGGACTGTGTAGGCCCGTTCCTGTTCGTAGGTCTTAGGTCGCAGGGTGCGGTAAGTGAGGGAAGTCTAGAAATACTTTGAGGTCGAATTTGTTCGGGTTCTTTTCTCATTTTTCTCGTTTTGGGAGAGTTTGGGTGACGCGCTGTGGAAGACTGCGTTGACGCAGCCATCTTCTTCCTGGTGGGTGAGCGGCCATAGCTGGAGGCCGTATCAGCAAGCTGGGGGAAGCTTCAGCGCTGGTGGCACTTCACCATATCTGTGCAGTTGGGGTTGGGTGCTGCTACTGGTTCTTCTCCTTCGTGGCAGCATCTTCCTTGTCTTCTTTGAGTTTGATGATTCTTCTTCATCCGGGGTTACCAGTGCTGCTCTCCCATGTGGGAGCTGACTGGGCGCCTGCATTTCTACTAGGCGCTGTTTCAGGGAGAGCTTGGGTGATGTGGCGCTGGTGTTCTGCGGCTTTGGACTGGTGTAGCCGGGGTTGTGGAGTTGCGGTAGAGGAAGAAGAAGGCTCCTGACGACGCATTGAAATTCTGTTTTAATTTGTTCGAGGTTGTTGGAACACAGTTGTCGATTCTTGGGACTTTTGTAATTCTGATTGATTGGAGGAGGAAGAGGGGGGATCAGAACTGAATTTTGAATTTTGAATTCAACTCTATTTTTGTGTGCTGAACTTCGGCTGTGTATTTCACTCTGGTTTTGTGTGGATTTGCCGCCTCCAACTCTGCTTCATAATTGTATGCGTGTATGGGAACGTGTGGATTTGTTGTGGACGGGAGTTCATTCAGTTACATAACAGTTATGTTCCCACCGATGAGGCAGATTGTGCTTTGCAATTGTAAGGCTTCTACCCCTGATGGGAAGAAGCATGAGTCCACTTGTAATTTGACATGCCCTTGAAAAGGAGCCAGACTGTGCTCTCTGTTCGAACGAGCCACAGCCACAAGGAAGGGTCCGATAGCGGGGGCAAAGGGTGGGAGGGTGGGTGGGTGGATGTGTTGGGGGGGAGGAGGGGGTTTGCTTACTGCTTACTGCTTATCATGACAGAACAGCTTTCTGTAGTTGCCTGCAGCCTGCAGCCATAGCCACAAGGGTCCGATAAGACTATGTTTCAACAGTGGGGGCAGTGAGTGTTTGTTGGGGGGG